TTAAGCTTTTATTATGTGTAAGGCTGAATGACTTCAGTCTCATGGGAACTTAGGGAGGTCTTCTTCCTTATGTTTGAAATGGGTTGTTGGGTTTTTTTTTTTTTAAGATGTACTTATTTATTTATTTATTTATTTTAAAGATTTTTATTTATTTATTTGTCAGAGAGAGAGCGAGAGCAGGGGGAGCGGCAGAGGGAGAGGGAGAAGCAGGCTCCCCACTGAGCAGGGAGCCCGATGTGGGACTCGATCCCAGGACCCTGGGATCATGACCCGCGCTGAAGGCAGACGCTTAACGACTGAGCCACCCAGGCGTCCCTGTATTTATTTATTTTAGAGAGAGATGATGCAAGTGGGGGTAGGGGTGGGCAGAGAGAGACAGAGAAAGCGAGGGAGAGAAGCAAACTCCCCGCTGGGTGCAGAGGAGCCCGATGCAGGCCTAGATCCCAAGAACCCCCGAGATCATGACCTGAGCTGAAATTAAGGGTCAGATGCTCAACTGACTGAGCCACCCAGGCACCCCCAAAATGGGTTTTTATGGATTGTCAACAAAGCAGATATACAATGTGTGCCCAGGACAGAAATAGAGCCCATGCTTTGAAGTTTGGTCAAGTCATTCTGACCTTGGTAAAAGTTAAAGTGTAACTTCCCTGAGACCCCAGGCATAGGGCCCACAAACATTAAAAGGACTGAATCTGAGCTAAGATATGCATTACTTTTATGGAGAAAGTCATAATACCGTTTTGAAAACCGTTAAAGTTGACCTCAGAAATATACCATGTTTATGATAAGACGCTAATACCTTAAAGATGTCATTTCTCTCCCAAGTTGATCTGTAACTCAAATGTAATCCCAGTCAAAACTCCAACAGGATTTTTAAAGGAGGCTCCATGCCCAATATGGGGCTTACACTCAGGACCCTGAGATCAAGAGTCTCATGCTCTACTGATTGAGCCAGCTAGGCACGCCCAGCAGGATTTTCTTCAAAGTTGACCAGCCAATTCTAAAATTTACAGAAAGAAACAGAGTCCAGAGTAGCCAAGACACTTTTGAAGTGGTAAAACTCATTGACAAAGGTACCAAGATTTTCTATAAAGCGACATCATTGAAGACTATAGGGAATTAATTTAACACCAGACAGACGTACCAACAGAACAGTGGAGTCTAAACTTGATATATGATCGAGTAGTGGGGAAAGAATGGACTATTAAATAATGATGCCGGAACAGTCTACCCACAGGCAATTCAGATTGGACCCTTATCTCATGTCATACATAAAAATTAATCCAAGTGGATTAAATACCTACATGTGAAAAACTTTCAATAGAGGGCGCCTGGGTGGCTCAGTCATTAAGCGTGTGCCTTCAAGTCATGATCCCAGGGTCCTGGAATGGAGCCCTGCTCAGCAGGGAGCCTGCTTCTCCCTCTCCCACTCCCCCTGCTTGTGTTCCCTCTCTCGCTGTGTCTCTCTCTGTCAAATAAATAAATAAAATCTTAAAAAAAAAAAAAAAAGAACTTATCAAACTCAACACCCAAAGAACAAATAATCCAATCAAGAAAAATGGGCAGAAGACTTGAACAGACATTTCTCCAAAGAAGACATACAAATGGCCAACAAATACATGAAAAAGTGCTCAACATCACTCATCATCAGGGAAATGCAAATCAAAACCACAAAGAGATACCACCTCACACTGGTCAGAATGGCTAAAATTAACAACATGGGAAAGAACAGATGTTGACAAGAATGAGTAGTAAGGGAAACCCTCTTGCACTGTTGGTGGGAATGCAAACTGGTGCAGCCACTCTGGAAAACAGTATGGAGCCTCCTCAGAAAGTTAAAAAATAGAGCTACCCTACGATCCGGCAATTGCACTACTAGGTATTGACCCAGAGGATACAAAAATACACATTCAAAGGGGTACATACACGCCAATGTTTATAGCAGCATTATCAACAATAGCCAAACTATGGAAAGAGCCCAAGTGTCCATTGACTGTTGAATGGATAAAGAAGATGTGGTGTAGATATAGATTATAAATATATAGATATATCCGAATTGGGTGTAGAGATTACTTAACAATAAAAGCCTAAATAAATAAATAAATAAAAGATTTTATTTTTTAAGTAATCTGTACAACCAACGCAGGGCTCGAACTCACAACCCCAACATCAAGAGTCATGCCCTCCACTGACTGAGCCAGCCAGGAGCCCCCCAAAATAAAATCTTGAAAAACAAAGTATAAAAATTTCTGCCAATTGAAACCAGGAATACAAGCCCCCAGCAGGCCCCACAATTAGATATATGGCTCCTAGCTGCCTCTGATCAGAGTTAAGTAGCCCTTAGTTACCGTTTATTTTTTACTTATTTATTTTTCCTTAGTTACCATTTAAAGAAACCTTTTTTTTAAATTTTTTTTTAAGATTTTATTTATTTATCTGACAGCGAGAGAGTGAACACAAGCAGGGCGAGTAGGAGAGGGAGAAGCAGGCCTCCCGCTGAGCAGGGAGCCTGACGCGGGGCTCGACCCCAGGACTCCGGGATCATGACCTGAGCCGAAGGCAGACGCTTAACGACTGAGCCACCCAGGCGCCCCTAAAGAAACCTTTAAAGTGGCCTCAGGAAATAACATGAAGTTGCTTCTGAGAAAGTGTGTGGGATGCTATTCTGCCTGAGGTGACAACCATAAGGCGCTGCGTGTGCAGAAAATAGTCATTGTTTGCAGCTGAGGAATAGTCACAGGATGTCGACCTTCTGCCTTTGTACTCAAAGGTGACTGATGCAATCTGGCAACAAGGTTGTGCAGTCCCAGGCCCTTGAACCTGAAGGACTGCCTCACCAGCATCGCACCAAAGACAGACAGGGTGACGCCAAGAGTGACAAAACCATTAAGGAAAGAAATATTAAAAGCTGACCTAATCCCTAACTGAATGACCCCAGGACCCTTACTGTGAATTTTCACCCTTTAAAAACCCCTGCTCTGGCGCCTGGGTGGCTCAGTCTGATCTGCCTTCAGCTCAGGTCATGGTCCCAGGGTCCTGGGATCAAGTTCCACATCGGGCTCCCTGCTCCGCGGGGAGTCTGCTTCTCCCTTTGTCCCTGCCCCTGCTTGTGCTCTCTGTCTCACAAAAATAAATATATAAGATCTCTATTAAAAAACAACAACAACCCTGCTCGGCTGCACCTGGCTGGCTCAGGGAGTAGAGCAAGCGACTCTTGATCTCAGGGTGGTGAGTTCCGGCCCCACGTTGGGCATGTTGCCTACTTAAAAACACATAATTTAAAAAAAGAAAAGGAAACGGGAAGAAAAGAGAGAACGCCTTGCTTGTAAGCCCTCAGGGAATTGGGTCTTTAGAGCATTAGCTCCCTGTTCTGGTTGGCAATAATCCAATAAATAGCTTTTTGATTTCTTTGCTGCAAACACTCAGTGGGGCACTTGTTGGCTTTGGTTCACGTGAGGCAGATGAACTCTTCTTCCATTAGGTTATACAGTCAACAAGAAAAAAAGCGCAACTCCGTAGAAAAATGGGCCAAAGGTATGAATAGGAAGGGGCGCCTGGGTGGCTCAGTCAGTTAAGATATGAATAGGCAGTTCACAGACTGTGAGAACTGAGGGGCAAATAAATCAATAAATAAATAAAAATAAACACACAGAAAAAGAAGCCGAAACTTATTAAAAGTAGAAAAATGCAAATTAAAGTTACAATAAATTATTAGTATCACTCCACACCACACCCATTAGGTTGGTATGTTTAAAATATGTTCAGGGTCAGGGCGCCTGGGTGGTTCAGCCCTTAAGAATCTGCCTTCAGCTCAGGTCATGATCCCAGAGTCCTGGGATCAAGCCCTGCATTGGGCTCCCTTCTCAGCGGGAAACCTGCTTCTCCCTCTCCCTCTCCCTCTCCCCCTCTTGTGTTCCCTCTCTTGCTGTGTCTCTGTCAAATAAATAAATAAAATCTTTTACAAATTTAAAATATATATATATATATGTTCAGGGTCCTGTGATGGCAAAAAATTTTAAATGTTCTAAATACCCATTAGCAAGAAAACAGAACATGGTTCAGAGTGAAAATTAGTGGATTTAGGGGCACCTGGGTGGCTCAGTTGGTTAAGCATCTGACTGGATACCAGCTCAGGTCTTGATCTCAAGGTTGTGAATTCAAGCCCCATGTTGGGCTCCAAACTGGGTGTGGAGCCTACTTTAAAATAAATTTAAAAATTAGTGGATTAGAAGCTGTGCCTCCGAGGAGTTTATGAGGTTGAAATTAACGGCAAGTTTCGGTTTTATTTGATTTTTAGTAACCTCCACATCCAACGTGGGGCTGGAACTCACAAGCCCAAGATCAAGGGTCATCTGCTGTACCAACTGAGCCAGCCAGGCTTCCCTGAGACTAGCAGAAAACTTAAAGTTTGTTTTTCAGAGACCTACTTCTCTCTGGTCAGCCCATATTTCTTTTCAGATAAGGTTCAGCCTATGAACAAGCAAGGCCCTGCAGTCCTCATCCAATCTAGGACCCCATTCAGTTAACAGTGGCTCTCAGAAGATATGCACAGCCCTCTCCTTGTCCTATAGGTGACGACCCATTGTCAGGGGCCTCATTTGGCCTCATTTTATTTATTTATTTTTTTAAGATTTTATTTATTGGGGCGCCTGGGTGGCTCAGTCGTTAAGCGTCTGCCTTCGGCTCAGGTCATGATCCCGGGGTCCGGGGATCGAGCCCCGCATCGGGCTCCCTGATCAGCGGGAAGCCTGCTTCTCCCTCTCCCACTCCCCCTGCTTGTGTTCCCTCTCTCGCTGTGTCTCTGTCAAATAAATAAATAAAATTAAAAAAAAAAGATTTTATTTATCATTTGGCCTCATTTTAATGTCAAGTCTCCACCCAAAGTGAACGTGAGAAGTGTGTGGCCTCTACGTTTGCTCAGTGCGCATGCTCCGTGCTCCTTCCTTCCTCATGAATAGTCACAAATTTCCCCGCCCTTTTCATCAATATGTAGTGCCAACCCCTGTGATTATAGAAACTGTTCTGAAGTTAGGCGGGGAGACCGATTTTTGCGCCGGCTTCCTGTCTCTTTGCTTGGCCGCTTTGCAACAGACCTTCTTCTCTGCAAGAGCCTGGTGCTGTGGTGTTTGGCTTTTCCGTGGCACGCGAGCAAATAAACTTTTCAGCTCGGTAACAAGTATGGCGACTGCAAGGGGACTCTAAATCCAACTGGGTACTTTTGCCGGTGGCTGGTTTGCCCCGTGTGGGGGACTGGGTTCCGAACTCTCTCCGCACGGCAGAATCAACCTTCGGTGCTTTCTAGTTTTACTTTGGGGCAGAGAAACTTGTTTGGGGTTCGGAAGCCATCCCTTGGGTGAGTAATCTCGGTACAGCAGTCAGTGGACTGCTGATAATTTTCTTTGTGTTCGACCTCAGCCGAGAGGCCTTGGGTAAGGAATTTTCCCTTTGGTAGAGAGGAAAACAGGAGTTACTCTCACAGAGGTTCTCTTGGCTATTTGGATTTCTTGGAAAACTTGTCTGTGTGAGAGTGGCTCTGTGTGACCTGCTGAGAATTAGTATTGCAAATACGAAGACGAAATGGGAAATAAGAATTCAATCCCAAAGTGTACCCCCTTGGGCTGCATCCTTCGGAACTGGGCAGTGCTCACCAATGAGTTCATGATGAAGAAAGAGATGATATTTTTCTGTAATACTGCCTGGCCACAATATTCCCTGGATTCGGGAGAACGATGGCCTGAGAATGGTTCATTAAATTATGATACTATCTTGCAATTGGATATATTTTGCAAAAGGGAAGGAAAATGGTTGGAGATCCAGTATGTACGATCTTTTATGTTATTATACCAGAATAAGGAAATTCAGAGAAAATCAATGATTTGGGCGCAAAAACAGAGTCCCCAGAAGGAGGTAATTTCACTTGATTCTCAAGCTAGGATAGATGATTCATTACCCATTCGGTTAAATACTGCCACTCCGTCACCTCCGCTTGGAGGGGCCGGGGCCATTGTCCCAAGACATTTGGCACCTCGGGCCCCAACTCCATCCCCTTCCCCTCCTGATGCCGCAGGACCGCTAGTGGTCTCTCCCTGTCCTACCTGCCAGGTTACCCCCTTGGACCAGGGGGCCACCCAAATTCAGGCAGGGAGATTACCCTTGGGTCAGTCGCTGCTCAGAGTTTACGGGAACGGGCAGCCACACGGTTTCATCTTTGTACGTCCCCTGTTTTCCACCTCCGACCTGTTGAATTGGAAGACCAACATGCCTCCGTACTTAGATGACCCTATCAAAATGGAGAATTTTTTTGCCTCTATTTTTGCTACCTACGATCCAACTTGGGCAGATATTCAGACGCTCCTAAATTTCTTCCTCACATCAGAGGAACGTAGTATGATCTTAGAACAGGCGCGCGCTGAAGCTGATAAGATGCACGAGGAAGCACCGTATACTCCGGTGAGAGCTATCGGATACCTGGCCATACCCACAACCGACCCTAGGTGGAGCCCTAATGATGTGGGGGATAGAGACAAGCTTGAGCATTACCGGAGCTGCATCCTTAAAGGGCTGAAGAATGGAGTCCCCAAACAAAGAAGCTTAAATAAAATTCTGCAGGTTAGACAGAAGCCTGACGAGGACCCCTTTGACTACTTGGAAAGAATGTTTAAGGCTTATCGGCAGTATGCTGGTATACACCCGGAAGCTCCAGAGAATCTACAAATGGTAAATGACACCTTCATAAGGCAAGCTGCCCCTGACATTCAAAAGAAATTGCAAAGAGTGAGAGGGGCTTTGGAAATGCCCACATATCAGTTGGCTGAGATTGCTGTCGATGTTTTCCGAAACCGAGACAAGGTCCGGCGGAAGGAGGAAGAGCGCAGGATGTGGCAGGAGGCAGCCTTGCTGGCGGATGCCTTGAGGCAGGTGTGGTCAGAACCTCACCCATGTCCATACCAGCTTGGTGCCCGTCCCAAGGTAAGATACCCGAGGCCCTCAAATTCTAGATCCAGAGGCCACCCCACTGTAGGACCACACCAGTGTGCCTATTGCAAACGAGAGGGACACTGGAAAAAGGAGTGCCCCTCTCTGAATAGGTATTGTGAAGGTGACTATTAGCCAACCTTCCAGATGCCCCCACTCTCCTGCCCTCCCCCCATCTCCCCCACAAGAACTATCCAGAATCCATGGGGCCCAGAGACTCCTAACAGCCCTACAGCCTTCACTGAAATTTCCCACGTGGAGCCCCGGGTCACCTTCTTGGTGAACAAGACACTTAACAGATTTCTTGGTAGACATTAGTGCTACCTACTAAGTACTGAATACCAGGGGCCCTGGGTGGTTTGGGTGGTTCAGTTGGTTAAGTGACTGCCTTCAGCTCAGGTCATGACCTCGGGGTTCTGGGATGGAGCCCCGCACCTATTTTTTTCCTTATCCTGTAAATTCCTCACAAATGTATTGTCTCTTTGTCTAAAATGTGTAAAAACTGCCTGCCTGGGTCATGCTTTGTCTCGATTTCATCATTGGGCTTTGTAACAAAGGTTTGGGTTTTTTTTCTCCTGTCCTGTCTCATGTAAATTGAATTCTTAGCCCAGCTGGAAGACCTTGGGGGTAGGGGACGAATTTTCCCTCCCCAGTAGTTAGCATAGTGGGCAGGATACTTTATTTCTGCTGGGCAACTGCTCGCCCCAGACACTGCTACCACTGAGATCCTGGGACATCTGACAATACAGCTGGCAGAAGGTAAGATTTTTTACCGTGTGAGCCTTCTGGAATCTCTGTCTGCGGAGTCTAATGGAACAAGAATGGTGAGAAGCTTTTTTACTCTCTCTAAATTTAGATTAGCAGGAGAAAATATTGTGGGACTGCTTCCTTGGGCCTAGCAACTTGTGGGAAAGAATTGGCAGCACACTCTGGTTGCTGATCCATTTTCTCCCAGGGATGGTCTTTGTTGGTCTGTGTCTTTTGTGTCCTTTGTTCATAAAAAGGAATGACCATAGGGCTAGCATAAGACCCTAGAAGTCTGATTTTTCGAGCCAGCCTCACAGACTGCTCAGTTCCCGGTTCTCACCAGACCATCGTCTGTTTGAACAAACTGCTGTGAGTCCCCTATATAAAAACCAGATGGAAGTTTTTCCTTTTGTCTTGTTCGATGTCCTAAGAGCTTGCCTTTGTGTCCAATGAGAACATTCTCTCCGGTCTCCATCATCCAGAGGATGCACTTACTGGGGTGCACCTTGGTGCCCAGTCAAATAAGCTGGGGATCCTGGGCACACAGTTACAAAAAGCACACTCTGCCCAGCCGTGCCACCTCTCAGGAGAGTTTATCATAAGTCGCAGCCCGTAAGGGGCATTTGTGGTCTCAGGGGTCAGTGCGAGAAAAGTCCCATTCCCATTAGTGCCTGCCTGCTGTCACAGATTAGCGGGTCTGTGACTGGAGGCATCTCAGATTTGTGGGAGGCCAGAGACGCGGTGTTCACCACATCATCCTTACCACCTACGCAACTAAGGTCTTTGCTTTCTTAGATTATTTTTGGGGAATAAACTTTTGGATCTTGGGGACTACATCATCTGTGCCTTGTCTAGAGGCCGCTTAGGTTTTGGGTTAAGCCATCAAAAAGCTTATTGGTTTGAGTCACTACCGAAATTAATAAGATCCTATCCACCAATGGCCAGATGATAGATCCTTTAAATTGGCTGTATTTAAATAAGTAAATAGATATTCTTAAATATTCTTTAGAGAGAATTCTGAATTGTCTAATTAGAATAACAGCTAACCTTGGGTAATGTGATGTGATGTGATGTTCGGGGTCTGAGAGTCAACAGTCAAGAAAGAATTCTTGAGAGGTCTTCAGTGCAAAAAAAGGTGGCTTTATTAAAGCACGGGGACAGGACCCATGGGCAGACGGAGCTGCACTGGGGTCATGAGGAGTGGCTAATTATATAAGTTGGGAGGGGGTAAGTCTAAGGAATTTGGAAGCAAGATTTCCAGGACCTTGAGAGGCTAGCTGCTATTAAGATAAGGGCTTTGAGGGCGCCTGGGTGGCTCAGTTGGTTAAGCGACTGCCTTCGGCTCAGGTCATGATCCTGGAGTCCGGGGATGGAGTCCCACATCGGGTTCCCTGCTCAGCAGGGAGTCTGCTCGTCCCTCTCATGCTCTCTGTCTCTCATTCTCTCTCTCTCGCAAATAAATACAATCTTAAAAAAAAAAAAAGATAAGGGCTTTGACTACTGTCTAGTAAACCCTTAGTCATGAGACCCTTCACATATGTATCAGTGGGCCATATGCTTGGAGGATGGTTGCTAGCATGTATCTTGGAGAAGTTTCCAAAGGCATTTTCATATGTTAAAGTAGACTTACAGGACCCTGGAGGTCGGGCTAATGTCAAGCTAAGGTTGACTTTCGCTTTTAGCAAAGTATTAACATGGAGGCAGTTGAGTTCCTGGTGGAAGGCCCTCTGCCTCTTAAGTACTTGTGAAGGGGCTGGAAGTTGTAGGGCAATTTAATTTTTTCCACATTTCTTTTGCCTTTGTTCTCCACATCATTAGGGACTCCCCTGACAAGATAAAAGAACAAAAATTAGACTTAAGGCAAATCAGTGTCCACACCCACTGAAAATTTCCCTCCTTAAAGTCTGGCCCCATTCGCCTGTTTTAACTTTCCTTGCCCTACAAGATTTGCAGACAGCACTCCAGCCTAATCTCTAGGTTCTAAGTATACAGATTACTCTTGCAAATGCCGAGAGACAGAAAGTGAATTCAGCAGAAGCCCCTGGGACGCACGGAACGGCTCGCTTTGCTATAATCAGGCTCTGCCAGCTTCAGGCATTTCTGTACAATAACTCTTACAGATGTATCCTACACACAGCTCCCCCGCCCAACACACACACACACAGACCCTGCGAAGGATTCCTATCCCTTGAACAGCCACAGATCTTTTAAGTGATGAAGCCCTTGTTCCTCCACTTTCAGAATATCCTACCAAACTTAGAAAGGAATTTTTATTTACTTATTTTTAAAGATTTTATTATTATTATTTTTTTAAGTCATTTCTACACCCAACGTGGGTCTTACACTCACAACCCCAAGACAAGAGTTGCATTCTCCACCCACTGAGCCAGCCAGGCGCCCCAGAGAGGAATTTTTTTTTTTAATTAATAGCTAAAAAAACTTAATAAAGGAATTTTAAAAATAAATTAAAAATTAATGACTATTCACAACAGCACTCACAGAGACCTTGACTGGCTGCCGCAGGGAATTTTCTGGCCCAGGATTGATTACACTGTGGTTATTAGGCAGGCCCCATGGCCCCTGGAAGAATGCCTCCCCTGCTTCACAGAGGAAACGGGACCAAAATTTCTCCTAAGCCCTCCTACAAATGATCTCCCAAAGGTCAATACTCAGAGGCTGATAGAAGCCAACGTTAAATTGTGTACTCAGAAAGAAGGCTTTTGTTAAATTGCTTTATAGATTTTAGAAGGCAGAAATCCTTTGATTTCCATTTTTGTTAAAAATCTCCCTGATTTGGGGCACCTGGGTGGCTCATTTGTTAAGCATCTGCCTTCAGCTCAGGTCATGGTCCCAGGATCCTGGGATCGAGCCCCACATCGGGCTCCCTGCTCAGCGGGAGGCCTGCTTCTCCCGCTCCCACTCCCCCTGCTTGTATGTCTTCTCTCACTGTGTCTCTCTGTCAAATAAATAAATAAAATCATAAAAAAAATCTCCCTGATTTAAGAAAAAAAAAAGTTGGGGCGCCTGGCAGGCTCAGTCGGTGGAGCATGGGACTCTTGGTCTCAGGTTTGTGACTTTGAGCCCCGCGTTGGCTGTGGAACCTAAAAGTTAAAAAGGCAAGCCAAATATTTTGATATTCAGTCTGTAACCCAGTTCTTTGGGGGGAATTAAAAACAATCATCTTTGTTTTACAAATCTCTACAAAACCAGAAATACAACTTTAAAAACAAGTCACAGCCCACCTACCTTTACTAATCTTAAAACCTCATCTATTCCTCTCAAAATGTTTATAGATATTACAAAAGATCAGATCAGGGCGCCTGGGTGGCTCAGTTGGTTAGGCGACTGCCTTCGGCTCAGGTCATGATCCTGGAGTCCCGGGATCGAGTCCCGCATCGGGC